GGGGGGGGGGGGGGGCAGGAAAGGAGAGGAGAGTAGGGTTGCAATATATGACGAGGAATAACAGATGATGTGCATGGCGGGCTTCGAACCCTTCCGGCTGCAATTAGAAGGAGAAGAAACTGCAGAGAGATATGGGGGGTTGAGGGAGGAGGAGAAAAGACTTAAGGAATGTGATATAAATAACAGTTGGCCAATGGTTAGGAGTACGGCAAAGCAGTGGAGGGGGTTGAAGGGGAGAGAATCTGTCAGGCACCTCTGACCTGAGGCTTATTCGTTGCCTAAACAGGGTTACGATCCGGAGGGGGCGGTGTCCTATCCGTTGCTTAACTAAGAGCCTCGCATCTGTACAGGACCCTGTACGGGACCCTGTACGGGACCCCGTAGTACACCAACACCACCGCGACCATACAATCAAAAAATACACACACGCAGGCCCCCTCCTCCCCCCTGGAGCCGGTGCCTTCTCCTTCCACAACCAGCACCCTCCCAGCACCGGGCCGTGCCTTCCTGCCGTACACGAGCAAAACAAACCCACGTAGAGCGTGTGGCTGACAGCCGTCCACACCGCCACTCCCGCCTCGTCAGCAAGGCCCTGAATGCGGGCATCACGGACGCGTGCGTACGGCTCCGTGTCGACTTCAAAACACAGCTGCGTGATGCGCCACTCCCGGAACACCCGGGGAAAGACCTCCTCGGGTTTGCCGCGCAGCACCAGCAGCCGAGATCCCCGGGACCGGAAGCTGCGGGTGGTGTGAGCGCGCGAGCGCGTGTGTGTATTTGTGCGTGTGTGCATCGAAAAACGTTTTTGTTGGATCCAGGCAAAGAGAGCAGGGCAGGAAAAGGGGAACTCCATTGGAAACAGGGAGCGCGATGACGCCACGGGGAGAAGGGGGGAGAGGGGGGGAGAGGGGGGGAGAGGGGGGGAGAGGGGGGGAGAGGGGGGAAGAGGGGAAAGCGGTGCATCAGTGTTACATCACACTGCCTCCCACCCTCCCTGGATTAGTCGTTAAGTGCGTGAGAGTGAGTACTGGGACCCTGGGGCTTCATTTCTCCTTTGCCCACCACAGTCGGACTAAATCGCTGCGGCGGCGGCGGTACACGACAACAGGGCACTGCGGATCATACGCGGAGGGTCCCGCCGCCGCCGCTTCGCTGCACACGCACAGTCATCAGAGCTCTCCAGCGCCCCCTTCGCAGGCCCCCCCCCCACACCCTCAAATCTCTATACAGTCCATAAGAGGCGGACCGGAGGTTTCATACACTTCATACACTCTAAAAACCCCACCCTGCCTGCTACTACTCCTGCTACTGCCGCTACATCTCACCCCGTAACCTTCCCCTAGGGTAATCCATTTTGTAAAACCCGTTCCCCCGGCACCTTAAACCCCACCCCACCCCGTGTTGGAGGGGGGGGAGGCGGGGAAATACCCTCCCACCCACTGACCTGGCGTCCAGGTCCCTCAGGGACTCCAGCAGAAAGTTATAGCGGTTGACACCAACCCTGCAGTACGGTACGAAGTATAGTTAAGCGTCGTACAGGGTAGTACGGCATGGCGACAAAGCTGTTGGAAAGTGACCGACTCTCACATATACTACTAGCGAATGGTGACAGCAGTAATAGGACCCGGGAGCGGGATACATGGCGCTTTGATGAGTCTTAACAAAAGCGACGCCATAGAATGAACAAGGCGAGATGTGCACCGCGGGTTTGGTTCAATGTTGTCGTGGTGTGGTGTTTTAGCTTGGACCGCGTCGCGGCTTGGGATCTGCATGCGCCCTCTTTAGGCAGAGGGAAAATATTCAGGCGCGTAGTACGGCGACGGCTGGTGCGGGCAGTGGGTGTCGTACGAATGTACCAGGTCTGGTGCACACGGCACGGCGAAAGACCTCCCTGGACATCTCCCCACAATCCGCCATTACCATCACCACCACCACATATTCAATACCCGAACTACATTTTCATTTTCACCATAGATTCAACAACAAACATAAGCGGCATTAGGCATTAGGCTCCTTATCAGGTTTTCAACGGCAGCAGTAGCATCAGCATCAGTCAGCCGCAGCAGCAGTCGCAGTCGCCTTCAGTTTCCCCCCAGCACCCTCTACAGCACTCCCGTCCTCAGCACACAACCAGTACGGCACTAATACCTCTGCTACTTACTTGTAGGAGCTCTGCTGCAGGAAGAATGGATCTGGAAGGTGTAGGGTGGGACGGAGGTCAGCTGGTTATTGCAATACATGCATACATACATACATACTTACATTCCTCCCCCTGCGGTATTCTGGAGGGTCTAGGAGCTGTGTGTCGTGGCAACGCTAACGCTTTTGTGGTTTCGCCGGTCTATCCCGGGCCCCTGCAGTGTTGGCAGTCTGAGTCGGGGTCGGGAGCACACAAGACTAACCGACTTGTGCTGTGTGCTCCCGACCCTTGCGCTGTGTGTTTCGGCTTCGGCCCCCGGCTTTCGTGCCCCACAGTGTAATATAAGTCATACATACATACATACATACATACATACATACATACATGCTCGGTTCGTTCGGTCGGCAGGAAGAGCCCCCCAGTTGCGACTTCGTTTATGTTAGGAGACCAACGGGCATAGATCCCGTCTAGTTGGAGCGCCAAACAAGCGCTGTTGCGTGCCGGCCGTCGTTTCCCGTGCGGCCTGACCCGGGGGCGGAGTGCATGAGACTAACCAGCCGTATGCACCCGCCCCCCGCGCTGTGCTTCGGCCCTGGGCCCCCGGCTTTTCAGCCCACAGTGTAATCAACGTCATACATACATACATACATACATACATACATACATACATACATACATACATACATACATACATACATACATACATACATACATACATACATACATACATACATACAAGGTCAGTCGGGCCTAGCTTTACCCCCGGTGGGCACCAGGAGAGGCACCGGAAAACTCCAGGCCGGCTGGTCAGGGGTCACGCAGTGCGAATAAGCCGTGTACCATACCAGCCTTACCTCGCAGTCTGCTGCCTCCACCCGCCCTTCTGTAATCCCCGTCGCAAGTGTATTCAGGAGCATTCTACATCAACATCCCTCACACACGCACACACCAAAATTCCCAACGATTTAATGAACCAACCCAATCAGCCCTATCCAACGATGCAGATTCACCCACCCAAGATGAAGACGGGGTACACGTGGGCCGCGCCCCTGCAGGCCTCCAGCAGCGCGGGGTTGTCGTGCAGCCGCAAACCTTTTCGAAACCATAGAATGCTGTTCTTGGGGCCTGCCATGCAAGCCAGCGCGCGGCGCGTGGCGCGCGCGGCTGGCGCCGGTCCTCGGTGACGTGTGGCTCGTGTGGCTCGGCGAAGCGGAAGCCACACGCAGGAAAAGGTGCTGGCCGATGAGTGGGGTCTTTGTGTGGAGAGCTTTAGAATTTTTATAGAAGAAGGAAAGGATGGGCGTCCTTGACGATTTGAGGTGGGAGGCTTAATGAATCGGTCGCGCTTCCAAATGGCTTGCACCAAGACGAACAGCCTGTTGTAATCACCTAGGCTCTTTTGCGTGGGCGTTTCAATTGTGTAAATTCCAATAGCCAATTATATATATGCATTTCCTAAATTGTCAAAGCGGTTACCGCAGAAGCGACCTGGCTTCGGAGCTGCATATTTTGACTTGCAGGTGTTTTACTGGCAGAAGCTACGATACATGATATGCATGATAACTTAACCATAATCTACTACCTGCTCTAGCAACCGGGCTTGTATATTTACCTTTAAAACGTTTCTATTGCTGCCGCGAGGCGGCCCTGGAGCTGCGCAGCCCAGGCACCATGAGCAACCGCAAGTACAGAAGCAGCAGGGTGCCTTCGCCTGGTGTATTCCTTCTAATGGACGAGGCCAAGACGCGAGCGCGAGCTGCTGGGGTGACCGTCGTCGACCTCAGCATCGGAGCATCCGATTTGCCACCCCCACCAGAAGCTCTTGAAGCGCTCAAGGTGGGGCGCCGGAACCCTAATAAAACCCTAATAATATCAACTCAATCCTCCTATGCTCATCGCTTATCCGCCCTGCGGCGTCGCTTGGCCGTTAGTTAGCTTGGCCGTTAGTTAGCTAGTTAACCTCCTCTCCCCTTCTTTCTCGCTGCCCGGCCCACTCCCTTCCCAGAACTCGATTCCTCTCTCCCTCCCCCGGCTTCCTTTCAGGCTTCTGTGGACGACCCAACGACACACAGCTACTGCCTGAAGAGTGGAACTATGCCCCTGCTTGAGGTCAGTCTGGCAGTCTAACCCCGCCAGTCTAGCCAGCCGGCCAGGCGGGTTCGGCGCTTGTCCAGGTTGTCATCGAGTTGAAGCGGGCGGTTAGGGAGGGGGCGGGAAGGGGGAGGGGAAGCGAGGGTTTGAAGTTGGATTCAGTACGGCAATGGCCGGCGGTGGAACCTGGTGGCGACGACCAGCGACACCCGCTGAGCTGCAACCCCATTGGCCTCTCTCCCATTCGCAGGCAGCCACTGAGTGGTACGGAACTCGGTACGGCATGCAGCTAGACCCCGCTACGGAAGCTCTAAGTCTCATCGGAGCCCAGGAGGGTTTAGCGCACGCGCTGATGGCGGTGGCTGACCCGGGAGACGGCATTCTCATGACCGACGTGGCATATCCGTCGTACTTTGGAGCCGGTGAGTGACTTAGATCTGGTGTTGCCGTACAGATACGCAGTACAGCCCCCACATTTGCATCTTACAAATTGCACGTCCATATGTACGTATGTCTGTTTGCGCGCTTCGAGTTGTCTCTTCGCCGGGGACCTGCCGTCAATCTGTGTTTTCTCTTGCCCCCAAAACTGACCTACCGTGCCACCAAACCCCAGCCAAAACCCCACACGGCTTGGCAAGTGCTCACTTCCCCCTTCCTTTTCCCCTGTAATGGATTCTTCGCTGTCCTGCTTCCCCTGAGATTTCCCCCTCCCTTCCAATCTTCTTCAGTATCAGTGTCTATTCCCAGAATACCCGTCTATCCCTGGTATCAGCTTCACTCGTATCTGTGGTTCGCCTCCCCCCCCCCTCCCTCCCTCCCCCCCCCCTCCCTCCCTTCCCCCCCTCCCTCCCTTCCCCCCTCCCGGCGCGTGAATGCCGCCGCCGCCGGCTCGCAGTGCAGGTCGCCGGTCTGGTTCCCCTGTACATGCCCCTAGGCGCCCAAGACTTCCTCCCTCGGCTGGACCAGCTGGGCGCCGCGGACCTGGCCCGGGCCCGGGTGATGCTGCTCAACTACCCGAACAACCCCACCTCGGCGGTTGCCACGACGGAGTTCTTTCAGGCGGCGGTGGATCTGTGCCGAAAGTACGGCATATTGCTAATCCACGATAATCCGTACATTGACTTGGTAGGTTGGGTGATTTAGGGGTAGTATGAATGTATATGTGTGTATATGTGCTGGATTGTAGTGGTATTGTAGCAAAGTGGCAGTTGTACTGGTAGTTATGCTGTCGGGAGGAATGTCGGATCTCGCATTGTCCTCACCTACCCCGGTGAGCGGGAGGTGTGAACGAACAACCGAATTAACTAACCTCACGCATCCCAACCAAGCTCCAAACTTCCCAAAACCAACCTGCAAAAAGCTAGGGTTAAAGGCAAGAAGGCCTTCCAACCATGGCGCATAAAGCTAAGGAAACCCTAAAACCCCTCTTCCCACCCCGCTCAGGTATTCGGCTCGGAGCCCTCCCCCTCGCCCTTGTGTTTGCCTGGGGGTCGGGAGTGTGTGTTGGAGCTGTTTTCCTTCGCCAAGTCGTACCACTTGGGCGGGTTCAGACTGGGTTTTGCGCTTGGGTGCCGAGAGGCGGTGGCGTCGTTGGAGGCGTTGAAGGCGCCGATTGACTTTAATCAGTACAAGGTTCGAGGGGGGAAAGGGAGGAGGGGGGCGCTTGTGGCGAGGGGGGAGGGTGAAAGGGGCTAAGGGCTTTCCAGCGGCTGGGGGAGGGGGTGTCGTGCTCTCTCCTCCACTTGTTCCTGCGGTACAATGTGCGCCTGTGTGTGTTTTTGTGCCTTTCAGCACCGCCCCCTTCCCCCCTACCCCCTGTGTATCTCTGCCCGCCTGGTCCCTCCATGGTGGCTTCAGGGTATCATGCGGATGGGTGTGGCGTGTCTGAAGCTACCCCGGGAGGTTGTACGGCGGGATGCGGGAGTGTGGCAGCGGCGAGCTGAGGTCATGGCGGGGGCCCTGAGGGGGAAGGGGTGCGAGGTGCAGATGCCGACGGCAGGTGGGGTGGGGTGGGGAGAGGGAGGGGGGGTAGGGGAAGGGGGAGAGGGGGTTCTGGTGGTGGTTCGTGCCAGTGATGCCAAGTGCGGGCTGAACCGGGCATTCCTTTGGGCCAGATCGGGGAGGGGAGGGGAGGAGAGGGGACGGGGGAAAAGGACGGGGAAAAGAGGGGGGAGGCATGCGTGTGTTTGTTTGGGAGTTTGGGGGGGAGAGAGAGGTTAGCCCGAGGGCCGAGTGGAGAAGGAGGAAGGGTGGGGGAAAGGGACGGGAGAGGAGAAGCACGTGTCCTTGCGGTTGGTGATCATCACACACGACTTGGATATCAGGACCCCAGATACACGCGTAGATGTTAGAAATCCATCCGCCTCCCCCATCACCATCACCATCCCATCAGCTCCACTCGCTCGTGGCTCGTCTTTCCCCCATCCCCTTCCTCTCTCACACACAGCTCTCCCCTCCCCCACCCACACACACACATTTCGGCGACCCACACACCCAACATACCTTCAGACCCACACCCTATCTCCACGTGCTCATCGCATTACCCCACAAGTGAGTGCCTAGCCAACACGGCAACCGTCGTGTCCCAGATACCATCGCCATATTTCCTATCAATTCCAAATCCAACCCCCGCCCCCGATCCCCTCCCCTCACCGCCCACCCCGCCTCTATCCTAGGCATGTACTTGTGGATACGGCTCCCCCCTGGAGTTGATGATGACGTGGCCTTTTGTCAGCACCTCGTGTCGTACACGGGTGTGGCGCTATCTCCTGGTCAAGGTTTCGGTCCGGGGGGAAGGGGGTATGTGCGGGTGGCGCTGGTGGCGAGGGAGGAGGCGTTGGAGGAGGCGGCGGGGAGGATTGCGGCGGCTATGAGGCAGGCGGAGCAGGAGGCGAGGGCCAAGGCAGCGGCGGTGTCCGGGCACTTCCCTGCCAGCAACGCGGACGTGGCTGCTTAGTTCGTCGAAGGGGAGGGGCTTCGGGGCGAGGTGGCGGTGCATGTGTGTGCATATGCGTGTCGGGACGGGAAATGGGGGGATGAGGCTTACCGCGGCCCCACCGCGGGAGGGTTGTCGGGGAGCTTCCAGAGTGAAGGTGTTGTTGAGGAGAGGAGTTGCTCGAGGGTGTGCCGGAGAGGAGAGTGGGAGAGTGGGGAGAGGAGGAAAGAAAGGGAGCGCCTGCATGGTAGAAGAGGTGTTGCTTGGTTTGGGGATGTGGGCATTGTTGTGTGGTGGCGGCGAGATGCTGGAGGGGCGCTCCTTCGGGGCTGGGCCCGGGGGGGCCCACCCGTGTCCCGTATGGTGCTCGATTAGGCCGCACGAAAGCCATGAGGGGGTGAGCGAACGACGCAGCATGTTTTTGTGGGGGGAGGAAGGGAGGGGCGCACGAAAGATGTCCCTTAGCGCACTTGCGGAGCTGCCCCACCTGGCCAGACCACCACTCAGACTCTCCCAATCCGAAACCCGAAAAAGCAATCTGGTGTTATCATGTGTTTTTTATTCTTGTTCGCACAACCATATCATCATCTTATATTTTACGTTTAATCTTCTGCGCGCCGGGAATTATTGTGTACGCCATGGGCCCTTCCGCCTGGCAAGTGCCATTGCGTCGGCAAACGTGCTCAGGGTATATGTGAAAACATAGATATATCCTTCTTTCGTCACGTCCGAGAGAATACATGATCGAGTACCTCCGTGTCAACAGTCCAGTTGTAAAGGCCTGGAGAGACTGCAACAGGCTATCGTTACCAGCAGAGTCGGGCTCGAATGCCGCAGCTGGAGCTCTCGCCCATCGGCAGCTGCTGGGGGACGCGGCTATGTAGGCGCTGTGCTGATGTCTCATAATAAATTCCTCCTGAGACTTGATTTTTCTTAAACTGTTTGCCGGAGACGGAGCTGCAGAGACTTCCGTCCTCGGATTTTTTGGGTTACGACCCCGAGTATTTGAAGTACTGCGCGGGCACTGTATAGGGTTGGCACTGTCCGTGTGCCGAAAGGAATGCGTAGGATGGTGCGTAGGCACCCATCCACTTTATTCCACTCTTGTGACAAAGCACTGTGAGGACTCTCATAGCTCCCCTGATATCTATTGCCCCTGCTGCCCCGCCAACCGCAGTAACGGTGTCTCCGGACGGAACCACCCTGCGCCACCTCTCTTAGCTCTCTTGTGCCATCCGTTTCCCCCCCCCCCTTTCCCTTCCTCGGCAGCAGCTTCATTCATTCGTGGTTTGTCTTTCCCCCTCTCCTTCTCCTCCGCTACCCCGTCCTCCCCTGCCCCCTGTCTGCCTGCCTGGCAGGTCCTGGTCCTGGTCCTGCCTGTTCGGGGCCCTCTTTCCTTTTCCTGGAGATCACCCCTTCGACCCCCACCGGCGGCTATTCGGTAATCATGACCCTCAGACAGTACATTCGCTCCACGAGTTGGGGGTTGGGCTGCCGGGAGGAAGTGAGCACGATGAAGCCAAAGGCCCTAATCCGCGACTCCTGGAATTTGTTCTTGTCGTACTCCTCTCCGTCCTCCGCACGTATGAGTGCGGTGTATCGCTCCTCCTTGAGTAGCGACCGATCCAACACCGAGGCCAACAAACCGGGATGGACCTGGGACCGCGGAGGGGGAAGTGTGTGTGTGTGTATGTGTGTGTGTGTGTGCCACAGGTGGCAGGTGGCGAAAAGATGGCAGCAGGTGGTGTGGTGTCACGTCATGCCATGTCGGATACTTCGTTGGAGCCATCTGAATGTTCAGTTAGGTGGCGAGAGTTCAGATGCCAGATCAGATCACATCACGGCGTCCAAGGGCCGATGGATGCACACCTGGCACCCACGGCAGCCCGCGCCTGTGACCGTGGTGATGCGGGGTTAGGGGGACCCGCACTACACGGGCCTTATTCCCCATCGGGCACTTTCCTGCCCTCCTAAACCGCCACAATCCCTTCTCCAAATTCCACCCTGGCTGGTGTGCTGGTCTGCCGTACAACTCCCGGGCCCCCCCCATTCGCTCCATTCTGCCAATACCCGAAATATTTCCTACGCCTTTCCCCCCCCTTGTGTGTGTGTGTGTGTGTGTGTTTCCTCCTCCCCAAAGGAGACCTCTTCCCCCCCCCCAATACACACATACACACACAAGCACCTGGTCAAACATTCTCGGCATCTCCGGCCAAAGGTCGCAGTCCTGCAGGTCCAGCACCATGGCTTTGCCGTACCGTATTGCCCCCAGCAGGGCGCGCCTGAGCATGTGGGGTTCCATGTGGCGGCTGTTGAGCGCGTTGACGTAGTTGGTGTCCTTGGGGGGGGGAAGAGGGCGTGAAAAAGGGGGGGAGAAGAGGAGGGGGAAGGGGGAGGGAGGGGGGGAGAAAGGTTAGGGGAAATGGGACAAACAGACCGGCATACAATCGGGAACACGACAGACGAACAGGTCTACACGCCAGACGGCAGACAGAGAGAGATAGAGAGATAGACAGACAGACAGACAGACAACTTCCCCCTCCTCCTCCCCGCCTACATATTAACAATGCGGACCCCTCACCTGGTATCTGAGGAACACACTGGCCTGCCCCGAGGTGTCAATCACCAGGGGCCACTTGCCGCTGGCCGCAATGAGCCCGCCCACATCGCGAATGAGCACATCGTTGAGGGCCTGAAGTGGGGAGCAGGAGCAGGAGCAGGGGGAGGGGGAGGGCAAGTAGGGGTAACAGAAAGGAGAGACAGAAAGAGAGAGGGGAAGGGGAAAGAGTTCAAGCCTTCCGAAATGGGTTCCCCATGCGGGGGCCTGTTGGGCCGGGGAGGGCGGGAAGGCAAAAAATGGAACCTCCGCGCTGCGAAGGAAAGGATACCTGGCACCCTGAGGTGGCATTTTGCGGCTCATGACGGTCGTAACCACACGGGCTAAGGCTAATTGCCAATACGCCAATGAAGCGACCAAGTAAAACACACACACACACACACACACACAACCCCATCACGGCTCAGATCATTACAAAAGAACCCAAACACACATACGTCTTCACCTCACCCGTACGGCAACAGGCACCCCTGGCAGCGCCTCCGCCTCCTCGCCACCCTCCGCCAGCTGCTGCTGCTGCTCACGATGCAGCCGCAACCGAGCGGTATCCAGCGCCTCCGCGGCCTCCGTGGCGCGTTTCCGAGCGTCCTCCACAACCTTCTCCGCCGAATGGATCTGCAGTACGGCAAAACACATACACACACGCAGGGAAAGGGGGCCGCTGGCGAAGTTAACCACCCTGTAACAACATACACACGCAAGCGACACGTGGCATGACACCCAGCACACCTCCAGTGCGCGACCTAGTCAGCAGCATGAGAGCAACACCCCCCGGTTGCCACACAAACCCAACCCACCCACCCCCCAACATCCCCGTCATCCCCCCCCCCAAAACCCCCGCCAACACCCCTGCCATACCCCCCCCACCCCCACCCCCCAATCTCTACCTGGTCTAGCGCCACCCCTGTAAGGCCCTCGGGCTTCTTCTCCTCAACACAAGTGTCGTACTCGTGGATCCGCTTCTCCAGCTCCTGCGTGCATGTATATATATGTGTGAGTGTATGTGTGTGTGTTTCGCCGTATCGGGATGCAATGATGGGGGCCAATGGGGGAGGTGGTCCAGGGTTTTAGACGGGAGTGACACCGCGAGAGGTCGTACATTTCAAACCCCAGCTCATGCACCCCAGCTCATGCACCTGCCCTCGTCCAGGTCCTCTGGCCACCGAGCATTACCGAGCCACCCACCATTCTTGCGTGTCTCAGCAGCTGCTGAGCCCGGCTGTGCGCCTCCTCCGCCGCTGCCAGGGACTCCTCGCATCCACGAACAGCCTGGGCTCGCTCGGCCTGTACGGCGGCAGCTCGCTCCAGACGTCGTGCCTGAGGTGCGTGTGTGTGTGTGTGTGCGTGTGTATGTGTGCCGGAGGGAGATGCGGTCGGGCGCAGGAAGACAGCACAAGTTTACGCAAAGGTGACGAAGGTGGAGGAGGAGGGGAGAGATAGAAAAGATTTAAAGCTGCTAGTGGGTGGAGCTGAGACACGGGAGAGGGCACGACACTGCCGTACACTGCTGTACACTGCAGCCGCACCTCACCAAACCAAATGCGCACTCAGAAGAACTCCCCCCCCCACACACACCCCGCTTCATCCCCACATCCCCAAGTGTTGCACCCACCTCGAACTGCTGTATGAGCTGATCCGTCTTGGCCACATCCCAAGCCCGAAGGACCTCCTTGATGGCCGGAGGAGCCACGTGCTCGGGTAACTCCCCCCCCTCGTTACCTGCTTGGAGGGGAAGACGTGGGGTCGCGTGTGTCCAAATGTGTTTTTTTCGTCAATGTCCTCCCCGGGGCCCGAATGGGGTGCAGGGAGGTGCGGGCAGCGAAGGGGGGGGTGGGGGAGAGAGGAGGGAGGCAGAATGGGACGCGGGGGGCCAGGAAGGCAGGTGGATAGGCATCACACACACCCTTCTCCTGGCACATACACCCACCCACCCACCCACCCACCTATCCTCGGGTCTGCCCCTCCCTGCAGCAGCACCGGCACCACCTCCTCCTGGCCTAGGAAGGCAGCTCGCCACAGCGGACTGCGCAGAAACTCCCCCCGGGTGTTCGGGTCGGCTCCAAGCTAGGGGGAAGGGGAGGGAGGGAAAGACGAACCACACACGATTGAAGCTGCTGCCAGGGCAAGAGAGTAACAAACGTAGAACTAGGGGAGGTAGGGGAGGTAGGGGAGGGAGGGGAGGGAGGGAGGGAAAGGTATGTGCTCACTGTGTAGGAGGTAAGGGGCCCCCTGAGGAGGGGAGTGTTGCCTAACCAGGAACGGGTCCAGAGGACGGGACGCCAGCTGGGAAATGAAGACGGTGGGGAAGGAGGGCCTCAGAACCCTCCTGCAACAAAACGTCCCCTTGAGCTATTGCCTCTTCGTTTCCCACTTGCAAACTGTTTACATTATGCTTCTCAACGCGTTGCTCCATCATCTGCCGTAACCCATTTCTGAGCAACACCCTCCTCCCTCCTCCCTCCTCCCTCCTCCCCCTTCCTCCCTCCTCCCTCCTCCCCCTTCCTCCCCCTCCCCCTTCCTCCTCCCCCTCCTGCTCCTGCGAAGCTGCCGCTCTCACCTGCAGCAGCATCTGCACGGTGCTCAGTGCCCCCCCCGCCGCCGCCTCACTCAGCAGGGTGTTCCCGTGCCCGTCAGCGGCCTCCACGGGCTCGGGCCGCAGGTAACCCTCGTCGCGAGCCCGGGACAGACCCACGCGCAGCTGGGCGTCATCACCGTCGTAGGCGGCCTCCAGCAGCGCTTTGCGCAGGGCGGCTTCCTGCCCAGGGCGGGTTGTGTGTGTATGTGTATGTGTATGTGTATGTGTATGTGAGTATGTGGGGGGGGGAAGGAGGGCGGGTTACCCGTCCGAGTGACCCGGCAAGGAAGGAACAACAGGGAAAAGCTGTGGATATATATCACTGCACCGGATGGGGAAACCGGGGGTGCGCAGTTGGCTAAGCGGTGCTGACGAGCGAGCAGCAAATTGTCCGTCGTTGACCATCGTTGTACCATCGACGTCTTTCCTGTGGTACGGCCTGCGCATTCCCAGGGCCTGCCGATGGAGCTCTCCACAGCTTTTCCCTGTTGTTCCTTCCTTGCCGGGTCACTCTATCTACTATATATATGCATTTCTTCCTAGCTACCACCCTCCCTCGCCCTCCCTCGTCCTTACAACCCCCCCCTCGGCCTCACCTCCTTTTTCCTCTTGGCCTCCTCCTCTCTCTGCTGCCGCCTCTTAGCCTCCTGCTTGCGCTCGTACTCCACCTGCGCCTGCCAGGCCGCCCGCCGGAGCGCCTCCATCTCCGCAGCCGCCTTGGCCTCGAGCCTGGGTAAACGCCCCATCACGGTGGACAGAGGGGATCATCATCCTCACAGGCACAACACATCGTACAAGATTGCGTGAAGGTAATAACACAGATGCTACATGGAAAGGTGGGGAGGGCGGGGATGCATGAACAAGATGTAGGAAAAGGGTGTGGGAAGGACAGGTAGGCACGGTTATATGGGGGGAAAATCCATGGACCCGGAAATGGATGATAGGAGGTGGACGAGCAGCCGCGAAAAGGAGCATCTAGTCAGGGGAGGTAGTGAGGGCCTGAGTGAGCAGCCAGCCAGCCAGCCAGCTGGGGGGGGGCCAAGGGGGGGGGTGGTGGAAAGGGCCCCTCGCGAAAATAGTTCAGGGTCGGGGGTTGGGGGTGGAGTGGTTTGTGTGTTTGTGTGCTTCTGGTGGGGTGTTGGCTCGGAATATGTGTGTGCGAGGGGACGAGGGAGCCCCCGGGTATCCCGTCACGGCACGGAAGGACCTGATGGCTGGTGGCTGCTGGTAAGGTTTGGCGTGTTGCCTCGCCGTCTCTGGTTGTACCCTCCCTCCCTCCCTCCCTTCCTGCGTGAGGGGGCTGTGCCCGTGAGGTGCGTGAGGGGGCTCAGTGGGTGAGGGGCGTCCGTCCGCCCTTGGGGTGGGGTGGGGCCCCCCCTTCCCCTGGTTACCAGAAGGTGATCTCCCCTCCTCGCTTCGACACACGCCGCTATGAAACCACCCAGCTATGGAAACAAAACAAAATAAAATAAACCTGAGTAACCAATCCTCAATAGTGTGGTCCATCAAGGTGTCTATGTTTTATGTCCCCCTTCTCCCCCGGCCCCACACAACCATTTACCACACTTTATGGGAGCACAGCTGCCGTGGTGGCATCACTTACTCGGCTTTCCTAGCCGCCTCAACCTCCGGGTCCGGTCCCGCCACCTGCTCAGCCACCGGCCCTGCCGGGCTCCGCGCCTGGGATGCAGTCCCCTTAACTCCGCCCTTGGAAGCTCCCCCCTTAGCACCACCACCACCGCCACCACCACCAGCGCCGCTCTTGGCGGTGCCGGTAGCCTGCGAGGGAAAAAAAGGGCTCCCCTTTGGTCACCTTTGGGTTCCCCGTCCCCTTTAGGGGAAGAAGGGTAACACCGTCCACGGACACGGTCCACGGTCCACGGACGGCGACAAGGATAGCTTCAGTTGTGACAGCAGTACCAACTACCAGCAGCAAGCTCACGCAGCCTCAAGCCGCCGTCCCATGGGTCGCAGCCGCACTGGATCAGACGGGATCAGACCTGGCTGTTGCCGGAGAGCTTTCACTCCGATCAGTGTGTCCCTTGCGGAAGTTTCTCTCTCCCCTCCTCTATCTATCTGCCTACGTATACTGCATGGCGGCGGAACTCTTCGTCTTCCGCATCGTGCTGCCGCAACTCGCCCCTCCCGCAATGAATGGATGAATGGATGAATGGATGAATGAAGCAGCCAGGACTGTATCGACACCGCAGTCATGAATGGCCATCACAGGACCACACAGTCAACGACGGAACCCAGATCCACATGTCAATATGAAGGGTGGGTGTGCGTGCGTGTGTGTGTGTGTGTGTGTGTGTGTGGTTTTGGAAGCGGGTGATTACCAGCTCCAGGAAGGGGAGGAAGGTGGCATCTATCATTACCAGTCAGCCCGCGACTATTCGCTGTTGGGGGCGCCGTTCTGCTCTACATCTCCGACGGGCTCCGGCCCCATGTCCCCATGGCTATGCGAGGGTGCCGTACCTTGCTGCCGGCGGATCCGGACTTGCTGGTACCCGTTGCTGCTGGCTTGGTGGAAGAGGGGGCCTTTCCTGCGGCCGGCTTGCTGGTGATGGCAGGTTTGGATGCAGCGCCTGCGCGCAATCGGGAGGGGCTGGCTGCAGCCCTTGGCGCGGCGCTGTTCCCAGAAGCAGGCTTGCTGGTAGCTGCAGCAGCCGGCCGCTTTGGAGCGGCGGCCTTGGCGTCGCCATCCTGCGCCGGGTCAATTGTGGGAATGTGGGGTCTACATGTTTGTCATGGATACCAGGGAAACGCTTTCAGCTGGGGCGCCTTCAAAAATGCTTACTGTTATGACCATTATTTATTCCAATAATCAACAGCGCATGGTCAACTCTGAAGCATGGCAAAGCTTGGATTGGTCACGTCTCAATACGTGAATTACAAGCTAGGATACATGCAAAATAAGGGCGTAAAACAGGCATACCTCCTAAGGAGACACTCGCTATGGCACAAGGCACTAGCCCCGGGTAGTCGTCAAGGTACGGCACAGTCGTGTTGCAGTAACTCGGTTTCAGCAATGCTCCTTTGCCGCAACCCGGAGACGGTTGATTCAACACTTGTCCATACTCCATAGGCGCACACTGACTACCTCGGGAGCTCCACAATCGCGCCCGCCAGCCTCGCCCCCTCACCAACTGAAAGCAATCGCTATCAAGTCGACAGCTATGTCAAATAATTAGCACTTTTGATACATATGTAAGCAACAGCTTGTTAAGGTAAACCTCTGCAGACATGGACATCGGGCAGGGAGGAGATGTACACGACGAGGAGCTGGAAGTCGACATCCACAACAAAGACCGTGAGTGCATACAGAGATGGCCTTCTTACTGTGTGAGGACGCAAGGGTGCTGGGAAGCTGGCGGCTGCTGACATGGGGGAGGGACTTACCTATCTTTGTAAGGGGCTGCGTTGCTTCCTTATACGCCAGTAGCCTTACGCGTAGCCTTACGCGATATGGACTGTTTGAAATGGCCATGAGTATGCATTGGTCGAAGCATTTCACTGTTGCCTTGAGTTTGCATCGTGTTCAATGTGAATTCAGCCTGTCCTTCTTCCAACATGCACGGAAGGACGCGACATGCCTTTTCCTTAAACATCTTGTTTGTCGACACACTCAATTTACTCCCTGGCATGGCTTTCGCTGGAAGAGGACCTCTTGCGGTTCGCCACCCAGCCACCTACAGGACTATCCATGGGACCGGGAACGACCTACCTATCCGCTATCATGTGCTCATCCCCATGCTGCAATACTGTGACACCTTTCTGCGTACACAACGGTTATGTCCCAATTCCTTTCCCTTCCAACTCGCCTGCACGCCTGTCGCAATCACGGACGACATCCAGGCTGGGCCCAGGCCCTGGTCAATAAAGTAACCGCAGTCACAGCAGCGTTCCGAGGAGCAGGAGACCAGCGCCATGCTGCCCGGCGAACATACCTCCAATTGGCTCCCGAAGCTCGTACAGAGAGCTACCTAGAGGTAATGGCCACGTCATACACGCCATCGCATCTGCACCGTACAGCAAAGCGGCGAGAGCCCATTCGCGGTAAATGTCCTCGTATGCCCTCTCTTGCATGTCAGCCTATCTTGCATGTCATGCCTGCTGGGTCCCAACGTGGGCTCGAAGTAATTCTGGTGCAACAGACAGACAGACAGACAAACAGACAGACAGATATAAGGCCACCGGATGCCGGATTTGTCTCGCGATCCCGTCAATCAGGGTACTACGTAACATCCACCCCCAACAGAAAACACACGCATGTGTCCACCGGCAACAGGGCGTGGATCCCTGATGGATCCAAAGTGGAATGATGGAACCAAAATGGAAGAACGGAAAAATAACCCAGATCGCGATGCTTACCCTGTGCCACCGCTTCCTCGTTCTCCCAAGCCCAAGTCAAGCCCAACCCCTACTATTCCCCCCTTTACCCGTTTCCACTAACCCCGCCTTCAGGTCATTGACGAGGTGCTGTACCAGACCTCAGCCCTCAGCCGACTTACACGTAACGCCCGCATGGCTGTGGCACGACGGGCGCATGTGAGGCGAGGGGCAGAGATGGGCCGACTGGAGGAAGGGGCCAGAGGAGGGGAGGGCGGAAGGAGAAATTGTGCCCAATGTTTTTAAAATTCGGAGGAGGGGAGGGAGAGGAGGAGAGGAGGGGTGAGGTGGCCCCCTAAGGAAGGAGCCGGAGGGGGCCTATCTCATCCGCCCAGTCCCCGTAAAGGCGTAGACTTCCCCTTTCCTCACTTGACGACCCCCCCCCCCGGCGCCATCCCCCGCTGGGGCTGTCCGCCCCAAATACCTCCCCCCGGTCATATACATGCACACATTCACACACACACACATTCCACAGGTGTTGGAGTTCCAGCCCGGTGAGGCCCTGTGCTTGAAGGGCACCCCTCAGGAAGTGCTGCTGGTGGTGATGTCCGGGGAGGTGCGGACGGGGTGTGGTTGGGAGGGAGGGTGGGTTGGCGCCCGCACGGCAGGAGAGAGGGGCAGGGCAGGGCAGGTCCAAAGGAGGGGTGGGGATGTTATCAAGCGGCAGAGGGGCCCCGGCGGGATGTTATACCGGGAAAGGGTTGAAAAGGGAGCCCGCGACCCCTGGGTGCGGGGAGAGAGGGGGTGGGGAGGGGGTTAGGGCGTCCCACGGGGGCGACGGGTGCTGTCAACGGCACCTCACTGTTTCAGTCGCAGCGGGCCCAAAGAGGGCCCCCCCCCTCCGGTGGCGCGGGGTCAGGTGGGGGGGTGGTGCCCCACAGTCATGGGTGTTGCTTCTGCTTCTGAGTCAGGGCTCCCGTGCCCTGTGCCGTGTTTCTCCCCCCCTCTCCTCTACCTCTTCACCTGAAATGTAATGTATGTATGTAAGTAACGCAACCCGGTGCTGCTTTCCTTGTTCTTAGCCCCCTCTCCCTCCCTCCCTCTCTGGCCCCTCCCTCCCCCGTTTTCCTGGCTGGGGATGTACTGGTGTGGTGCTAGGTGGAGGTGGTGGATGGCCACTGGGACGGGTCCGCAGCACCGCCACCACTGGCCCCGGAGAACAACCGCTTCGGCCGGCACAGCCTGGAGGCCCTCACACCCCGGCCCCCTCCACCGCCACCTCCACCCCAACCACCTCTACTACCACAACCCCCACCACCGCTGCCGCCGCAGCTGGCTCAGCAGCCCTCCCAGGGCTTCCCCATTTCCCAGTATCCTAGTCGACGGCACCTGATGGAACAGCTAAGCGTGTCGTCAAGCACGAACGGCCAAGGCAGCGTCGTCGTCGCCGCAGCCGCCGCCGACGGGTGATGATTCTGCACCGCGGCGACAGCTTGGGGGCAGTGGATATGGGCTGGTTGTCGCGGTTGCCGCGCAGCGTCACGGCGGCGGCGTTGGATGAGGTGCCGGCGTCGCCGTCGATCACTACTCGCGCGCTTCTGGCTACGAGAGCGGAGATGGCGTCCGGGGGTAGTTTTAGCGGCGGTCAGGTTTCCGGTCCAGGTGGAGTTGGCAGTAGCAGCGGCGGCGGCGGCGGCGGTGGCGGTGGTAGCGGCCATCGCCGCAGCAGCTGCGCCGGTATAGCAGGAGAGGTTGACGGCATCGGCAGGGGAACCGTGGACGGCTGCGGCGAGCAGGCTGGGGAGTGGCCTGAGGGACGAGGGGCCAGCAGAGGCGGAGGCGGAGGCGGAAGCGGCGGTGGAGGCGACGGCGGTGGCAATGACCCGCTGCAGCGGCTGCGGTGGCCTTGTACGGCAGTGGCCATGGGCGGGCGTGTGGAGTGCGTCGCCATCGGACTGCAGCAGGTTGTGGGGGAGCTTGGGGGCCGGCTGTGGGGTGTAGGTTGGGGGGGGGGGAGATGACCTCTTAAGACCCCCTCCCCCTGGTTTCGTCCCCCCCCCCTTGACACATGATGACGTCAACCCTGCGCCTCCCCCTGGTTTCGGATGGAGAGCGGGGACGGCGATGGAGGGAAGGAACGACGGCGCGAGTAAAACACGATCCCCACCTGACATGGCAGGGGAAAAGGAAGGGGGGAAAAGCGGGCGAGAGGTGGCTGACGTCGTTGCAGAATGATGACAAACATTTTCCGGCGGATTCTAAAACAACTTCCTCTTCCCCACTTAGCATACCATAACCAAGCCATACAATCGCTTAAGTTCAATTTACCCCTCCCGCCCATACGCATACACGTGCACACATGTACACGCAGACATCTAAAACCCGTTTCACCCTCTCACCCGTTTCACCCTCTCTTCCCCCCTTCCCTTCGCCGTCTTCACGGACGCTTTTCGGTCACGGTACGTCTGGTACACTCTTGCCCTGGCAGCAGCTTCACTCGTTTGTGGTTCGTCTTTCCCCCCCTTCCCCTTCAAGAACGCCTACTGGTCAGTTCTGCTCTTTCCATGGCATCAGCTTCACTCCTTCGTCTTTCCCCCTCCTCCCCCTCCCCCTCCCGCTCCCCCCCGCAGCTGTGTGCTGTGTTGGGCACGGAAAGCCATTGGGACGTGGAGGCGCTGGTGGAGAGCCTGGAGGAACTGCCCGTGTTTGCCGCCCTGAGCGGGGCGGAGCTCAGGCAGCTGGTCAGGGTACTGAGGCTGCACACGTTCTCAGGTGGAACGGTGAGCTGAGCGGTTGAGGAGGGGGGGATACGAGGGGAAGGTGGCGTGTGAGCGTGTGACCTTGTGTGTGTGTGTGTGTGTGTGTGTGTGTATTTTGGGGGGGGGGAGAGAGGTATGAGGGGAAGTTATTGTCGTGGAGAAAGAAGACTGGTACGGGGAAGGGAGGGGGAAAAGGGGGGAAAGGGGGATAGGCTTTAAGACACGCTATTGCGGGTAAGTTGGGGGGAGTGGGGGGAGGGCAGAGGAAGGGGGAAGTTAAATTAAAAAACACATCCACGACGTTAAGTCGTGGATTTCTGGAGCGGGGGCTGTGCGGTGTTGTGTACAGCTCTTTATTGTATACTGTTCCACGAGTGGAATTGTAACAGAAGCAACTAGGCTAAACGCCGGTTTTAAGTTCCCCCGTCCTCTTACCCCCTCTCTCCCCTCTCCCCCCGCTAGGTGGTTTACAAACAAGGCTCAGTGGGTAATGACCTGTACATCATCCGATCCGGATGTGTACGGCTACTAAAACAAGTAGCCCTGGACGATAAGGCCCGCAACCGCCTCAACAGAATCTCCGCGGAGCTGTCTGCCGTACGCGACCAGACGGCGACGGCGGCGGCTCTTCTTCACGGCGTCCCGTCCGTGGCGCCGTTCGGCTCCTCCTCGGGGTACCACCCCGCGGCGGGTCCAGGGGGGCCACTCGGCAGGGTTTCGA